TACTACTTACATGTGAGAGAGAGAGAGAGAGGATGCATTGACTAGGTTGTTAACAGTAGTCAATTTACACTTTGTTCCCTCCGATCCATTATTGTTATCCCATAACCACTTGGTTTAGTCTAATTAGTCGCATCTGATTCTCTCAATCCATAAAAAAGGGGTCATCCATTGTGTCCGGTAAGGCCCCCAAAGCTTCATTTGGATGTCAATAACATTTAATAGAAATGAAAATTTCAATTTTAAATAAGTAGAGTAGTAAGTTTGTACCGGCAACTAATCGGATATCTAAATTAGAACTAAGATTATTATTAAGATTAAAATTTCAAGTATAAAGAGGTATTCTAAACTAATGGTCAATAATAATAGTCACATACCCCACTTGATATAATTTTCTAAATGACAATATGAAAAACCCCAACCTAAAATTTACTTCACTCTCAAATTCAAGCTCTTTGTCTAAAGTCAAATTTTTTCAATTCCTAAAATAAAGTCCATGCCTACAAACACAAACAATTATGTATTTGATATAAATATACGAAGCAAATTCTTTTCATTATACTTTCAATCAATTTCACTCAATAAAAGATCACCTACTGTATATGGATGTGAAACTTAATTCCACCTAAATTTATGATAATATCGAGTCGAAATGTAATAGAGATGATCTCAATTCTAAATATAGCTATTAGATTACTAGTAATAACCAAACTTGTAATTTTATGACTTTTGAAACTCGACCATACCTTATGTGGGAATTACTATTATTCAAATGAAGCATCACCTTTATTTTTTTTTTTTTTTTTTTTTTATAAACTACGATGAAACACTACCGCATTCACCACTGTATTATTCATTGCTAAATTGGTGGTATTGAAAGGATCCAAAACAACCTATTACTGTTTAGAGCTCAATACATTTGAGGGTAGAATGGTTGAATTAGTGCGAAATTGATATTTAATGATGATGCTTTTGTGGGTGTAAATAACAATAAAATAAATCAATTGCCCCTTGCAAATTCAGCAAACAATCAAAAAATGCGTAGAAGCAGGGCGGAGCCAGACATATTCTCTAGTGGGGACAACTTAAATTATATTAATATTAAAATTTAAAATATTCACAAAAGTATAATTTTATTAATAGAACACCAATTAAAGACGCAATTCATATACATGAGCGATATACAAAATGAGTTAACAAAAAAAACTCATTATAGATTTATCTATAAGACCTAACAAAAAAATTTTGAACCGCAAAATTAGGGTCAGTCATATATTACATTTTAAGAAAAATTTTCATAACTAATTCAAAAATTAATTTGTTCAATCACAAACTTAATATTCATCATTAAATTTTAACAAACAATTGAAACTATAATTATTCTAGTAAACTAAATCTAGGTATATGAAATACATAACTTATCACAATAAAACTGTTCAAACTACCAAATCAAAATAATTTAGTCTAATTATAATGGAGGACTACAAGTCCTAATTCTAATTCTACAAATAAAAATAAAACAAATGAGACTATAAGTTCTAATTCCAATTCAACATATAAAAATAAAACACTAGAGAGAACTACAAACTCAAATATCAATTAAATATATAAAAAAATAAATCATAGACGAGGACTATAAGCCCCAATTTTATTTCAACATAGNAGGACTACAAGCCCCAATTTTATTTCAACATAAAAAAATAAATACAAGACTACAAATCCTAATTTCAATTCAATACATAAAAAATAAAACATAAGAGATGATTACAAGCCCCAATTTTATATTTTCAATTCAACATGTAACAAATAAAATACAACAAAGAGCTACAGACGCTAATTTCAATTCAACATTTAAAAAATAAACCACAAAAGAGGGCTACAAACCCTAATTTTTAATTCTAACATATAAAAATAAAACAAAGAAGATGATTACAAGCCCTAAATTTAGTTCGATGTATAAACATAAAACAAATGAGATGACTAAATTATGTCGAAACATATTAGTTAATCTTTAAATGTCCAAATTTTTGATATCATCTTTCATTGATATTTACAAGTGAGACTCATATACTTGTCAAAATAACATAACTACCCTTAAATCTTTTAAAAAAAATCAGTGGGGGCAAATATTTAATAAATTCTAAATTTTTTAAAATTCCAGTGGGGCAGCTACCCCCACTGCCCCCCGGCTGTGAATCCGCCCCTGCGTAGAAGCCAAACCCAAAAGTCAAGCAATTTACTAGGTGATATCGTACGTCGCCTTCACCTCATTATGCGTTTCTATCTAAAACTGCTCTAATATCTTGTAGCGGGCTGAATAGTAAACATGGAAGATTAGTTGAAAATCTGCATGCCTAGATTATTTTAATAACAATTATTTTAGTAGAATAAAAGTACCCATGTTAAGTACCACAGAGTATGAATGAGATGGGTCAGTGAATGACCCCGTACAACAAACGCTTCACTACTAATATGTTACTTACGAAGACTGTTATAAAATATGCAACAATGTAGGCACATAAGTTAAAAATAAAAAATAAAAACAGAAAAAAATCGTATTCAGCATAAAAAATAATCATATGTGGTAGAATCCTGAGATAGGAAAATTATAGGCAACTTTACTTTCGTTTTGAAGAGATTGATTCAGTATTTTCGAGTTCAACTCTTGACAATTCACTTAGACGGATGAATATGTACCGTCACTTTAATTCTCACGTCTAGATAACTATGAGGCAAATGATAGTATTCAGAGATCATCACAATAGATCTTTATTGGTGGAATTATGATGCCCTTGATCATGTCAATTACTCCTCATATAACTATACGTGAGAGATGACTGATTTTAGTTTAGAAAGTGGAGTCATAATGCAATCTCATTGCTTGCCTATAAAAACAAGAAATTCCCCAATTCGGGGCAATTAGATGAGCAATCCTCTTTGGGAGGATGAGAGAGAGAAGAGCTCTCTGAAGTGCAAACATTATATTTGTAAAAGGCTACTTGCTAGGATTTCTTTTGTTGCTTTTGTGCAAGAACAATTGGGTGGATTGTCAATATGAGCACTTTTAGATGTTTTGCATTCTAGTCCGATTTGTATTTGCTTGAACTTAAAATCCATTACATTATAATCGGAAAATCTTCTGAGCCCGAGTCCTTGGAGTGGACAGTTGGGCCTATAGTTTAGAGCTGTTTTTAGAATTTGACTCGAACGGGGATTAATGGTTCTCTAGAAATGGTCACTTAATGATTTGGAAATTTGATTCCCCATACAACACAATAGTATTTGGGTGCTATAAATATTGTAATTTGGGAAGTTTTGGTCGCTTGTTTTTTTACTTTCATTTCAAAGAAGATTTTATAATTTTCATTTTTAATGGTAAAATTTGACAAGCTCAGATCCAATTGAGTCTGGACCCAATTCATGGGTTGAGTTCAAATCATCAAAAGAAATGTCAGACTTAACTTATGACCCTCAGTTAAATCCAAAACTCAAAATTTCAAGAAGAGTCAACGAACGTGAAAGAACAATCATCAAATTAACAATTATTCCAAGATAGTGTCTATATCTAATTATAGTTATCCTCCCCGATACATTAGTAGCTTGACTCTCACGTAACTAGCTCAATTAGGGCTATGCACTTACAAATTATAAACCCCTTATACAGGGACACAAACTACAGTTTAAGCAGACTCTTGCTCTTTGTCTATTTTTTTATTGCCTCGTACTATCTCATTAATAGAGTTCTTCTGCAACCGTTGTCACCTTGAGTGGTTAGGTCACCCAGATCCAACCATCCATTCTTTGTTTCTTATTATTTATTTCATTAATTGATTTACACCATGCACTCGACTGATGTAATTGTTTATAATCAACTTTATCCATCATCAAAATTTTTTATGGTACTTTCCCGTAACGTATGGTTTTGAATCGAACTAAGTAAATGTATACATTATATGCTTTTGTACTTCATTGGTTGTGTTGTTTGTAGGCTTGTGCATCACCATTCCAATTTCAGACCTATACTCAAACAAACTATTCAATAACACAACTGAAAAAGCGACAGATCGCAATGTCATTAGGTCAATTTCATTTGCTAATCCAAGCGGTTGGGAATTCTTCTTGTTACTTCCTCTTAACTGAAGCCAAAAATGTCATAGAATTCCTCTTTGCTAGTAGTAATGCTCACCAAAAAATATTCCGACACAAAACTAAGCTTTGAATACTCTCCCTTCTAAGTCACCCCAAGCACAAAACACACCAGATTATGAATGATAATTTTTCATGTTATCTATTACACAAGTTGAATTCAACACAACGTAAAACACCAAATTATCTTGTTCTTATATCCAAAGAGATGGTTTAATGCCACTTTCATCTTCCTCTTCTTACATATATCTTGACTCTTTCTTTTTTCATGTATATAGACATGTTTATTGTTTCTTTTGTAGAAAAATAAGTGGCAAGTTGTCTGGAATACGTTTTAATTCTTGACTAAATAAATGAAAACTAATGCTAACAGACTAGAAGAAACAGATAAATATCCAAATGGTGGTTGACTGTCTTTCCGCGCACTTCCCCTTGCGTGTAACCAAAAAGTGTCACAAGAGCCCCTATAGGCTAGTTGTACAGAAATTCCCTCCATCGCTCGTCACCCTACTATTTCTTACCCAGAAACCACCCTCAAAGTTTAAACACTTCACCAGTTCTCGGTCACCCAATACCTCTCTGTCTCTCTGTTTAAAGTTTAACTCTTACCGGTACTCAGTCACCCATTACCCCCAAAAAGCACACGACTCACTCTCTCTCTCTCTCTCTCTCTCCAAAGAAATAACCCAATACTTCTCTCTGCATCTTCCTCGTCATCTTAGCTTGCCTCTCTGTCTCTCCCCCTCCCCCCTCTACAAACACATAAATATATACTCACTCTGTCTCTCCGTACACAATTACGCTCTCTCTCTCTCCCTCCCTCCCGCTATCTCTCTCTCTCTCTCTCTCTCTATAATATGGAAAAGCACAGCAACACCATGATGGCCCCTCCATCTCCAACACCCACAACGTTTGTTCAAGCAGACACAAACACCTTCAGAGAACTAGTCCAAAAGCTGACCGGTGCATCCAGTGACTCCCAAGACAAACTCCCGGTGACCCACCCCACAAGGTTCTCCACCAAACCCGTTGACACCACCAGAATTCGTCGTTCGCCTTTCAAGCTCCAAGAACGACGGCAACACACCATGCGAAAACTCGAAGTCAAACTCGGTCTCACCTCGCTCTACAACTCACCAAGACAGGCTCAGTCCATGTTGTCGCCGGTGCAGAGCCCTGTGACTCCACTCGGTTGTGACTCGGTGTTCGTCTCCCGAGTCGGGACCGAGTCGCCGCCGTCGGAGGAGGAGAAGGCTATGGCAGCAAAAGGGTACTACTTGCATCCGTCGCCGAGGAAAGCACAGCCGCCGGAACTGTTGACTTTGTTTCCATTGACTTCGCCCAGACAGGAGTCTGGGGATCCGTGAAAGCTAGATTTGGGTTTTGGAAGCTTCCAATCCAATCTTTGCAGTGCGATGGATTTAATTATATTATGATATGGTTTCTGTCTCTGTGGGTGTTCGATGGTTTGTTGTCAAAGAACCCTTAAATGGTATAAAGGAGGGATTCAAATTTTGTCATATTATTATTCAGGGTTTGGGTAAATCACTGGAGTGATCAAATGAGAGGGTGAACAAATGGTATGCCTGTAGATAGTCCATCCCTTTCAGTATGCATGATTAATGAGAACCACAGTGAATAATTTTTTTTTTCTATTTATTTTTTCTTGTGGTTGATGAATATAATTAAATTCATATTGATGACGTATACTAACGTGAAAGAGCTTAAGGTGAAAGTAATGTGAGGTAAGCGTGAATCAGAGTTACGAGGCTCGTATATGATGCTAACTGATAAAATATTCAGGGAATTAACGGGGTGCTCACAGTAAAAATATAGTGGTTCATCGGCTCAGGAGCTCGGTTAGTCCACTCTTTAATGGAGGTTCTTGCTCCTATTTTATTCACGATGATTACAAAATTGCTATGACTTCCTCTTGCCACTAGGGTCCTCTCCCTTGTTAGGTGTTACAATGCATTTATAGGGCCATTCCCTGTTAAGTGGGATCCTGGTCGAAATTCTTACCCCTTATTTCGTATGATTCTCTCTAATTCTAGGAGAAGATCTTGGTTGGTTGAGATTAGGTGCCTTGATTATAGCTTTTTAACGCTTTTAGGAACCTCTTGTGATCTTCTAGCTGTTGCCTTGGTTGTTATTGCCCTTGCTTATTTCGAAGGGACCTCCAACTCTACTCTTCCGAGTTCTATTCGTCTAGTCTGATCTCCTGGGCTGAGCTGACCTCCTGAGCTGGCATTTGGGTTTTATTTTGAGGTATCATTAGTTGGCCCCCCAGCCCTTGGCCCAAGCAAGTTTGAGCATGGGCTGAACTGCTTTTACTTTGGACCAGACTTGCGCCTAACTGACCTTATCCTACATGTGAGATGCACGTGGGAGGGGTTTTCTGACGGTGACAGTAATCATGGCTCCCTTGGTTTCCGTGCACATCTTATCCCATGTCTTTCAAGCCTTAAATGCTCAAAACGGCTAAAAGAAAATGCACAAAACCACCGTTCATCTTCTACGTTGTTCACCTTCATCTCCGACTCTTTCTCTATGTGATTTTTGGGCTTTCTTCCACGCGATTCCCTTATTCTATGCTCTAGACTGTACTTTCTGGGTTCGACTCGAAGTCCTGTTTTGTTCCTCTCCTCCACTTTTGTTCTTTGACTGTTGTTTGTTGCTTTCCTCCCTGTCTAGGTACGCTTCTTTCTGCCCCTTTCTCTTTCTATTGCCTTTCCTCACTCTGGATCCCTCGATTTCAAGGTGGCTATTATTTTTCTGGGTTTTTCGATTCTTTTTCTTTTGGAATCGCGATCGTTGCCTATCTCCTCTTCCCCGCGTTGTGGATTGGAACTCCACTGTGCGAATTCTTACTGTTGGGAAGTACAGTGCTGACCCTAGGATTATCAAGGGGTGTTTAGTTAGTATCCCTCCTTTTTATCATTCTTTCGACTTGCCTTTTTCTTTGCCAATCATGTTGGCTCCTCTGGAGCAACTCCTTCCTCTATTTCCCTCTTAAGCGATAGATCTGTCAAAAGAGATTCTGATTTAGGAGATGTAGGTGACAAGATTGACAACTTTCCTGGTGTAGATTCTGCAGAGGTAGAGGTGAAAACCGAGGAGGCCCCCTTCACCTCTTCTCTCATGCCTAATAGACCTGATAAGGGCAAGGGCAAAGTAAGTGGTGTGGGAGTCATCGTTTCAGGTGCAGGGGCTGCCTTTAGGAACGCTGAACTTGTTGGTCCCAGCGGACTTACCCCTTCTGACCTGAGGTTTCTTAGTGCTCGCTTTCATTTTTCCCCTGGGGTTCAGCCCTGGAGTCCTGATAAGTACACCACATATGTTCACCATGTCCATAAGAAGGTCTGTTTCTTCTTGGTAGCTTTTGATAATGGACTTCGCTTCTTCATTCATCCCTTTATCAAAGGTGTCCTTTAACACTTCAATGTCTGTCCTGCTCAGCTCTCTCCCAACTTCTGGGGTGTTCTTGTGGGTTTACTAGTCTTTTTTAAGGACCATAAGCTTGGGGTCCTTATTGTTTCCTTACTTATGGAGCTATTTAATGTTAAGCAGACTTCCTCTGATGGTTTCCTGTATATCTCCAAGAGGACTAAGGCCCAACAGATCATCTCTGACCTCCCAAGCTCCCATAAGGGCTGGAAGAAACAATTTTTCTTTGTAGGCGGTACATAGTGGGGATTCAACTTAGAGGATAAAATTGATACCCTCCTCATCCCTACAAAGTGGTCTGCCCCCGATAATTTGAGTATGTTTCTTCTCAAATCGTATTTACTCAAAGTCTGGCTACTTTGTTAACTTATTTATTGTTTTTCTTGATTTTTTAGGTATTCGACCTGAGCTCAGCGCTAAAGAAGAACGAGTATTGGAAAAATTGGAAAAGTGTAAACCAGATAAATATTCTGAGCTCATCCAACCTTGGGCTCTCGTAGAACACGGGTTCTGCCTCCCTGAGGTGAGGGTTGAAGCTTCCCTTCCACTTTCCTTTGCTAGCCCTATCCCGCTTTCCGCCGAAGATATATCATGTAACATTTTTTATTTGTTCCTTCTCTCATCTTTTCTTTGTCTAAGGGTGAGGCTTAGCTATTCTTAGGTTCCGCAGGTTCATCCTTAATGGAGCCCATTGCTGCTGAACTCAGGACTAAACTTTTCCAAATGAAGAATATCAAGGGCAGCAACAAGAGCAGCAGCAAGAGTAGCGCTAAACGTAAGTCAGGACCTAGCTCTGCCAATGGCTCCACTCCTCCTGCCAAGGTGCCAAAGACAAGCATGTCACTTACTCCTTCTGCTCCAGCTATCCTAGACTTCTCCTCCCAAAGCGCCTTTCTTGCTACTCCAAGCACTGCTGCGTTAGGACAGACATCCCCCTCTACTTCTAAGGTTGAGAGAGCTATGGAGACGACCTCCCGAATCTTGGTCTCTCTTAATCCGCCTGCTGCACCAATCAATCCTCCCCTTCCTGTGGGTTCCAAGGCTGTGAAGGAGGAGCTCCTTAAAGCAGGCAAAAGTGAGGGCTCCTTTCTTGATAACCCCGACCTTGCTGCAGGGGCCCTCTTCCCTATTCTTTCCAATGCTGATATAAAAAGGGCCTTTTCACTGTCTCTTGAGGATTCAATAAGCTCTGTTCTTCACAGATTAACTACGGTAAGTTCTTGCTCACATTTATGACTGTTTCTTCTTCTTTTTATTTTTTTTTTGAACTTTCCTAATTTTTGTCTGTTTTTCTCTTGTCCCAAGTCTGCTATCCATGCCAAGAGCTTGATTAATAGGGTCTTGTCTGCAGAGAATTCTGCCAAAATGGTGAGGGCTTATGAAGTTAAGGTTGCCGAGTTGGCTTTTAAAAATGATGATCTGCGAGCTCAGCTACAAGACAAAGTGGGGAAGCAGACTTTCACCATTGAGGGCTTAGAAGTTGCAAAGGCCAAAGCTGAGGAGGGGGAGAGAAAGGCTAGGGAAGCCTGGGCCAAGGCTAGCCAGGAGGCTTCTGCTGCTCAGAGCACTTTTGTAAGTTTAACCAAAGATTTTGTTGCCCTATCTTATGCTAATGACGCCCTTTACAGCGAGTTTGAAGAGCTGAATGCTGCTATATCTGCAAAGGACAAAGACATTGCCAAGCTGCGGGATGATGTTGCAAACAAATGGGTCTTTGGGTGGCTTATTTTCCAAGGAAAAGCTGAGGAGGCCTACCCTGGCCTGAATTTCAACTTTGATGTTCCCAGTGATGAAGACATAGAGGTGGTTGACGCAGAAGGTGAAGGTGAGCCCCTGGCCTCTTTAGACGTCCCTGTTGCCGAGCTTCCCTCCCCTACTGACCTTGCCACTAAGGCTTCAGTTCTCCCACCTTCAGTAGAGGCCCCACATTCAGAAGCTCCCCTCGTTGGATCTTTCCCAAATTCTGTTGATTTGCCCATCACTTCTACTGAGCTTCCAACTTCTGAACTTGCTTCTGCCTCAGCACCGATAACTGACCAACAGAATTTTGGCCTTATTCCTCCCTCAAAAACTTAGGTTGTAGAGCAAGTTTTTTTTTTTTTTTTGTGTAGCTTTGGGTTAATTATCTCAGAATTGTAACATTTTGAAACGGAATTTGAAACGAAAATGTCAGAATTGTAACATTTTGTGTTTAATTTATAGCTTATGACTCTTCTTTTCCTTTGCTTTCCAACTTGTTGCTTTATTCTATCATTTATCAAATATGATATTTCTCAACTCCTCCCCCCTTGCTTCAAAGGATCGTTCATAACTCTTTGAAGCAAAGAAGTTAGGAATAACTACTGATGTGCCAAGCTGTGCTTCTAGCTTCTAGACTTGCTTCTGTCCCAACTCCAACAATTGACCAGAGCTCTGGCCTCACTTCATCCTCAAAGACTTAGGACATAAAGTAAGTCTTCTCTCTTTTTTTGTATTAGAGTGTAACCTCACATATGCAACTCTTCTCAACTTCCTCTCTCCCCCTTTTGCTTCAAACAGGTCATTTAGACCTTTTGAAGCAAATAGTTGGGAAGTTTGCATGGTTAGTCTAGCATACATAGTAGGGGTCAAGCTTTTAGTTATTTGAAAAATAAGATAATGAGTACCTGATGTCTTACCCTTAAGGGGGCTCCCATATGCTGACCTGCATAGCTGACCTTGACAGACAAACAGGATCCTGGGTTAAACTGTTGCCTTGGTGTGGCAGATCTACAGGTTAGGATTTATCATGTTGGAAAGAAGTAGACTTTTCCCTCTTGTCCTAGGGTGAGGGTTCATCCTTTCCATGCACAGCAGACTGAAAAATTACTAACTTATGCTATGGTTGAACAACCACCGAGCTCTACACAGCTTAGGGTGAGGGTTCATCTTTTCCACGTGC